CCCAAAACCCCCCCGGGCCTTCCCCCCTGGGTAATGGAAAACCCTGTCCCGGGAAAACCCCGGGGGCTCCCCCCCCGCTTTTGTGGGGGGGGGGGGCAAAGGTCAAAAGGATTCGGCCACCCCGGTTTAGGATCCCCCCCCCCCCCCCCCCCCCCCCACGTGCACCTTGGCCCTCCCACTACATTGCAGCGGTACGTCGAGGCCGTGTTCCTCTTCCTCATCACCACGCAGAAGTGCTGGGGGTACCACGCCAGCTTCCCCGAGAACGACGACGGTGACGACGACTTCGGCATCAAGCAGGCTGTACGCATCGTCGAGATCCTCAGCGACGTGCGCGGTTTGGCAACGGGGACCGTAGAGGGAGGATGCAACGAAGACTCCCTGGGGCTTCATCTGAAGCGGGGGCTGGCCATCGTGGCTCGCGCGTTCGACGTGTCGTGGGCTAACCGCAACGGCTTCCCGAACATGGTGAGAAGAGTACACATCAAGCGTGCAAATATATGTTCCCTTTCGCCAGGATAAACGCCCGAAGAAAATATCGGCGTTGAGATCATCCTGCCTAGACTGCATTGTTTCGAAACGAAGGTGACGTTTTCATCAGCTATTTACGTTGCTGTTCTACCCCAATTCTCCTTTAACCGAACCGGGCACAGGACATCGTGGCCACCCTCCACCAGTCTATGGAGTTCGATGTTGGGCTCCAGCTTACGCTGATGAAAAGCGCCCGAGACGCCGTGGAAGACGCCCACCACCCCCCCTCTACGCTGCCGCCTTACGTGCCGCAAGACATCATGCGCCCCGCCTGTAGCTTGGGCTACATTGTCGGGATGGCAATGGAGGACATGGGCAACAACGGCCACGCCAACAGAACGGTGAGTTGCTGTTGCTGTTGTTGCGGACGTTGATACTGTTTGGGTGTGACCGGTGGTGCACGTATTGCTCTCGTTGCTGTTGGTGGTAGTGGTGGCAGCGGTGCCAAGAGGTGAAGGTCTTCGTGCCGTGCCGCCATAGGCGAACACAAGCACCTGGAACAAGTAGCAATCAATCAAGGCAGAACTCCGCGGATACATACAGAACGTAAGTTGCCGGAAAAAAAAAAAAAGAGTATGCTTTGTTCACGGATGCACTTGATTGAGGATCTGTGTATGCGTTTCGTCCCCATTAGCAGTTTACCCAACGTTCTTAGTCAAGACGAATCGCCTCACCCCCTCACCTTACCCACACACCCCAAAACAGGACCTGACGGACACGTACGCTAGTATTGCGACCGAAGCCGCGGAGGCCCAGGGTCGCCCGAACCACACCAGCATCGCCGGCATGTTGGTGTGGAAGGCCTCTTGCCCGCACTACAACGTGAACGTTCAGTCCGGGGCTCTGGCCAACGCCCTCGCCTCCACGTTCGGCTTGGACCTGAGCGAAGGGGACGCTGTCGCCTCTGCCGAGCTTCGGGAGGGCTCTCGCTGGCAGCGAGAGAACGCGATGGGCATCGGTGGTGCAATTGACCCCGACGAGCTAGAACTGCTCATGGCGGAGGCACGGAAGGTGAGTGTATGTCCTTACGGGTGAACTCGGCGCCGGTAGATGCTGCTTTCTTCGATTTCCTGCCGAAACATGCATGCACCTGCCCTGTCTATCCCCTCGAGATGCTGTACTTGAGGTTGCGAAGAGCACCCCGCACAATGTGGTTTGAGGAGCACACAACTTCCACGGCCTCCCCGGCATGTCGGCTACTGCAACCCTCAGATGTACGCTTTGCCAAAGAAAGTTGCAGTGCAACCTCTGCCCCCGCGTCGTAGGCGAATATTCCCCTGGCTCTCGATAGACCACATGGCACAGCACAATGCGAAAGAGAACGCAACGCCGCCGTGATTGAAAACATCTCCGCTCGAACTGCGTTTGTCGCTCGTTGCTTGCTTTTTTGAACAACGTGCACGTGCATGTCTACCTCCGGCGGCCGGCCTGGACGTACGTGAACACAACGAAACGCCTACTAAGCAGGTGGAAGCCGCCACGTCGAACCCACAGGACAGCTCCGCCGCCGCCGCCGCCGCCGCCCCCGCATCCTCGCCAGCTTCTCTGGCGGCTGCGAACCGTAACGACGCGCAGCGGCCACTGCCGGGGACGAACGACGGCGTCCATGCATCTTCAGAACCGTGGAAGACGAGCGAGAGGCGGAGGAGGAAGAAGAAGAAGAAGAAGTAACTGCGCCCAGGAGCAGTCGGCTCGTGGGAGCACAAGGACACCGTGTAGCCCTTGAAGAGGCATTGCATGGCCTTTTGGTTTTGTTTAGTGGGTGCGTGATCGCGAGATCGCGCTTTGGTTGTCTCAAATGCAATTCCCTCACTGGCCCAAACACACGTGCTTTCAGTGTTCGGGCGCCTATCTCTCTTGTCATGAATACTCCACGTGGGAGAGTCATGACAAGCCGACAGCTCACATCACTGGAAACAGTGATAATGTTGTGTTCTACAACAGAGCAGAATTGGAACACGAACTGGCACAGCCAACAGTGATCGGACACGTGTTATGAGCATAAGGGTTATTTTACCATGTCAGCCGGTAGACAACAAAAAGAACAAACAAATATCGGGTACTACTGTAGATAACAGAAGCGAATCGGGGTGTGCACCGAAAATAGTATTGAGAAACTCACGCTTCCCGAGCCGACATATTGAAGCACGACATAACAGCACAAATCATAACGTTGGTTGGCGACCGCAAAGCGACGTTTTGACCACGCGACCCAATTGCAAATATCTGGAAGAGAACGTTCTGTGCCCGGCTCTTGACGTGGCACAACCAGCCACGGGGATGGATGCAACCAACACGTCTTTCCTCGCTGAACGTCAAGAATTCTACTAAACAACAAAAATGATTTTTACGTTTCCTTGCCCTGTACGGGGTTGGTGCGGTACACCACGCCCCGTGACAAACTCCCTCGTGAACGGTACCCGGCGCGCCCTAACCAAGCAACCTTAAAGACTTCGAGCCGGACATGACCTTTCGACCTACACCCCGCTGTAGGACATGGTTTTGGTACAGAGGCGTAGCGGGCTTCCGCAAGTGTGTTCGGCAAGGTCGTACGAAGGTTGGCTTGTGACCGTCTCCGACTCAAACACCGGCCCTTCGCCCAGCAGAAGGTCGACACCACCAGCATCCCTGCCTCCAAAAATGTTGCTCGAGACATGGTCACCGCTGCAATGACGGCTGACGTTTAGAAAGCAGGGACAAACAGAGGGGCAAAGGGATAACATGAAAGATCCAAGGTACAACAGTTCACATAAATGTGTACATGCACACCCTAGTGATAAGTCATCCCCGTCAGGGTAGAGGATGGCCTGCACGTTCCGCCAAGGACTGGCTGAGACATTTCGAAGGTGAGTCGACAAGTTTGGCGTACTACAGCTTTTCTCGCCCAGGCGCGCAGTTTTCGTACAAAAAACAATCGAGAGCGGGATGCGGGTCGAAGCAAAGAGGGAAAAAATGCAAGATGGTCATCTCTTAAATGAAGCCAGGGCTGCTTCGGATATTCTGACTAGAGACCAGATCGGAGAGACCACAAGCCCGCCCTAGAGAAACAGAGCATCAGCACAACCAATCAACGTCGAGATGTCAACTCTCCGTTCAAGTCTCCCTTCGCCACCTTCTCGAAAACAAGGGTCCTGGTGCGTGGGACAGAGCAGGTTGGGAGTCGTTCGGCGTTAAGTAAAAGGTGTGCTTCCGTTCATCCACCCAGGGCGCTCAACATTCTCAACCTCAAAACCGTCCGTCACGAACATAGGAAAGCTATTTTGTGGTGAAACACACGGGGATTCATGCCCGCGAAACACCTCCAAGCAACGTTTGCTTGGCGATAGACGTATATCAGGGTCATTTCGAAGCTCGAATAGTCGGGCCAACAGCAGGCGATAGGCGAGGAACACCGGCAGCAGATATATACTCCCAGCTCACCCGTTGATGATCAAGCCGCCGATCCCTTGGCGAATCAAGGGTCTGCTCACCGTCGAGGTCGGCAACACGTGCAAACACAAAAAAATGCGCGAAGTAGTGCGAATGATTCAGCAGGAGCCACCAGCGTGCTCGACTGTGGTATGTGGGCATGTTTGGGGTATATGACGTGATCTTTTCACGTGTGCCTTGTGACGGTGACCAGAACCGAACTATTGACGAATCGCGCAGGCATCACACGTGCTGCGTGGTTTTCCGGGAACCATTAACAAAATACGTGAAACACTGTATGGGCGTGGACCTAAGAAACGTCAATATCAGGTCGAGCGTCAGTTTCGTATTTCGACGATAAAGGTTGTTATACAGCGACATTTGTGGAGTTTCGTGTAGTATCCGCCGCTGAGGTGCGCGTGTCTACACCCAATATTCTTATGTTTGGTGAAACGTTTAGCCTCTGTTATTCCTTTACTGAGGACCCGTGTTGTGTTCACAACAAGGAGTCAACCGTGGCGTTTCGGTCCAATCGTCTTGCAAAACCCGAACAGTAGTTGACAAAGAATCCGATTTTTCTCAACGATCGACCACATCTTCTAACCGTTCGAAGTCGCACGAATGGTTGTTGATCCTCGAAGCCATCGTGTCTACCACTGCCATCGACGCTTCGGGTACTCGAGAGCTACGCGCTGTGCGGATGCTGGCCTAGTTTTCGAGCGGTAGCCCGCCGGCGTCAGAGCTCTCAAGGTACGCCACTCGGTAGACAGCTTGCTCGAACTCTCGGTGCGCCTTCTTCATGTATGCGTACAGCTCGGTCTCGCATGCTGCTGTATTCAACTGGGCAGCCAGCGATGAGAATGAGGGAACGGAAGGGCAGCATGCTTTTACTGCCGGGCATTCTTCTTACACCGACGCCTACGCTCGATCGTCTTCACTGTTTTCCTACCCATGCCTGAAACGTACCGTGGGTTGGAAGAAAACCTATACCTCATACGGCGTAAAATTTTTCGTATCATTGCCGAATACGACACAAGATAACACGCCAAAATAACGTAAGACACCCCCCACATCACGCAACACCCAGTGCTAACGTACTAGGATCTCAAACGAGGGGGCTCAGCAGGGAAAGCACGCAACATACACTCTGAACGCGTGGGAATTACCTCATGGGCCTTTAATCCACACCAATCAACTATTTTTGTCCCGCGCCTCTTGGCATTATCCCTTTTGTGGATGCCTGTCATCGCCGGGGTAATGTGATCGGGGGGACCTCATTTCCACACGACTTTGTAAGCACCTCGGTAGGAACGCCCAGTACCACACTCTGGAAGTGCGGCGTAGTACGGTACTCCCGGCAAGCGGTATCATACCCCCTCAACATAACGCGCCCTACACACATGTGGCAGCAGTTACGGTACGTAATCCATTGCAAGCACCGGCAACACGGTCCACAGTGCCCCTTCGCTCCCTGCAAGTGCACGCCAGTGCTATCGCACCCCCTGGCTACACACTATTCATACCTGCCGGGACTTGCACTTTATCACCCGGGCTACCCGAGAACACCCCCCAACGCATAGAATACAGCACCAGGCAACAATCTCTTCTACAGGGAAGCATTATCCCTGTGGTTTGATGACTTATGTCGTATACAGTAGGCGAACCTGAAAAAAAAGACATGTGTCCAAATACGTTGTGGTCCCACACCACAGGTGTTGAGGCTTAGCCCAGTGCTTGGTGATTGCAGACTTAACCCGGTCGCCTTTAGCTTGCTTCACCACCCCTGTTCCGGGGGATCTGCTATTGATCACTAGACCATGTGTTTGCTTTCTTGTGACGTAGAAAGACTGAAATTCTGTCACCGGTCAGCCAGTTACCATAGTCGTGGCAACACCCAAAACACACATGGAGTTGCGTATCATTAAGAAAACAAAAGTACGCACATACACACACACACGTCATGGACTACTGATCGACCAACTTCCGCCAAGACCAATCGGTTGGGATCTCTGCGACAACGATAGTAACGATAGTAATTCTTTTGGGAGTGACGGAGACGAAGGGAAGGGAAAGGGAAGAAAGGAGGGCGAAGACGACGATAAGGGAGGAAAACATGGAGGAGTGGAAGAGAGCAAAGGGTATGAGCCAGATGACCTTCCCCATGACAAGAAACGTAGGGCTAGGGGAGGGCTGCCCAGAGGTTCTTGTCAAAATGAGGATCAGAATGATGGTAGCGAAAACAAGGAGGATAATGGTGAAAGTGTTCCTAAACGAACTAGAGTACAAGGTAATAGCCTTGGTAGACGCGTCCAGTTTTCTTCTGTTGCTGTTGTTTCTGTCTTTGATCCGAAGGATAGTTTAGCCTCCCCCATGCTGCCCCCTCACGGGGTCCCAGTTCATGGCAGATAGACGTGTTTTGTGTTTTCAACTGCACTAAGACTGACGTCTTTTCATTGGTCAGCCGGTTAGCGCGGTCGATGCTAATAATAAACACACACACGCACACACACGAACCTGTGGGGGAACTTGTGGTTGGCGGCAAAACGACTCCACTTCCGCGGTGCTTGCATCCCCAGAAAACATCTGGACGGTCATCCTGTGACTGACAACCTCGGGAAATCCCTGGCCACCAAACAAGGTTCGATTCATGATCGCGTTACCTTCAGGCTCCATGGAGGGTCAAAAACTGTCATGGTCCGGCTTCCGAACGCAATGGATTGGCGGGGTCCGTAGGAAGGGTGTCAAAGGCTCGCAACCATTGTACAGCGGGCTGTGTTGGCGACTCTTTCGGTATATATACCCCAGGAGTCTTCCCTGCCACAAATACACCGTACAACTCTGGGTCTTTGGACCAATGTCATCTCAACCTTGTCCGCTTCAACAACACCTACCGATTCCATCGTCGTCTGCACCCAAAGCCACGACGAAGAATGTCTACCCTTTCTCATGGTGGAGTTTGAAAAAATAACCCATTGAAAAGGACAGTTGACGATCTACGTGTAGTTTGAGACGAGATTGGTGTACATTTGCTCTCGCAAACAGCTCCCTGTTGAGACTGGCCGAAAAATGATCGTCACAGGGTACCATTTAGCATCAAGAACAGCAGTCGCCCTGATGATATGTACCTACCGTACGTGACACATGATACCAAACACCCTGGACCGACACAAAAAGCTCGGTATCTCTACAGCAGAAAGAAAAAGTGGAAGTGTCGAAAATGGTGGCGTCTCGTCGACAGCTTCCCGAAACTGTATCGTAAGATTTATGTATCGCCTTCGTCGTGGAGTAATCCGTGTTTGAAAATCGGCGCAGGGGGTGTGGCACATTGTGCCACCTACTGTAACACAACGGACGTGTCACCGGAAACCAAACCACAATCAAGTACTCACCACTGGTAGATCCTCGGTGAAGCCGTACGCCCCGGAAGCACTGAAGAATGCTTCTGAACGTGCCATGTACTCTTGAAATACATCCTGAGTGGCAAAGGACAAGCAATGGATAGGATGAGCTTCGCGTGCGTCAAAGAATCGCAATTTTCGTATAACATAGATAGATTGCCTGAAAACGGCTTGTTTCCTTTGGTCTAGGATCAGACCTCGCATCATGGGATCACACATTTCATGTAGCTTGTCTGAAACAGCCTTATTGCCTTTCGGCGAAGGCACGCCGACAAATAAAAATTCAAAGGCAGACATACACACTCAAATCTACCAATCCAACTTGGTACCGTGCGCAAGTCGGGTATGACAAGCGGGACTGCCAGGTTATCTCACCGTGTCTCCATGAAAGAGGTAGAGGTAGGCCAGAATTACCCAGGCTCTGGAGGTACACGGAAGGCGGGCAGATGAAAGCCGATAGGTCACGAACGTCGTGAATACGTAGAAAGAAATCGAGAAATATATAGTGGCATATCTAGATGGTATGTTACTCCGGCAAAACCAAATTTCCTCCAATCCGTCCGCGTCAAAGATAATGGGCCACCCAAACGGGCGGCATTGCTATATGCCTCCTCCTGCAAGTAATGGGCTCACTTTGCTACTCCGGTAGTCACAGGGCCCGAATGACGTTCCACAGCATCTCTGGCCAGCTCGGAAGATCTCGCCACCTTCGACGACGCATACCGGGATACTCGCGTCATTAGCGGAACCGGAAATACAACGTCCTTTCAAGCTTCCGTTTCAAGCGAAAGCACGCGACGGCGTTAGGCCATGAAACATACGGACACGACGCCTCTTCGCCCCACGGGCTTGCTCTTGCGTACCACATGTCAAAATGCTGGCCAACACCGGCTCTTGGATGATATTTCTCGCCTACTTCTTCTCAAGTTCAGGGGCATCCGTCACGATTGCCTAGCGTGCTGCTCACCGAAGTTGCGGGGCCCCCCTTCACAAGCGCCCCCAGAGCAACCGCACACCAGAACGTGCAGGTCGATGGACCCGCATCGAGCTGATTCTCTGCCGGGGGCATCCTGAAATCGCCCTCTCTTGCCAGCACATCGTCTTCGTCACAGTCGCGCCAAAACACTGGCTGCTATGAGAGAGCGGGGGTCACCATCATCTTCACCATCGTCTCACGCATGTGGCTGGCAACCATGACCGTCGTATGCATGCGGGGATCAGCAAACGTGATGTTGAGCGCAAGCGGCCAACAACAGTCGTATCTTATTGTCAATCATGAGCGCACAGCAGTTCTTCGACAGGCAGTGGTGTCAACAAAATATGCATGTTGACGGGAAACGAAAACTACGTGGAGCGAGTCTGGGCAAGGGCCAACACGCCGTCGGCAGCCAAACTCCCGCTTCGGCTTAACGACACGGTGGCAATATCACACGGTGTGTCGTGCCTCACTAGCGTACCTCTGGGTGGTGAGTGGAACGAAGCCAACGTAGGCGAAAAAGTCGCCGAGAAAGGTGTTCTCCCGCATCCCCACGAGGCCGTCGCTGGAGACGCCCTAAACTTGCACCTGTCGTCGCGGTATGTATACAGATCATAGTGCCCGCAGAGTAGGGCTTGACACGCCAGAAATCGGGCGTCGGAGCATTTTCGGTGAGAAATCTACTTAGCACCATTGTGAGCTCGGGAATGAACCACTACAGATAAACCTACGTGGCGGCCATTCGTCCCATAACCTACAGGAACTATTACGAACCCCAGGCTAGGCCAAAAAAGAGGCTCCTAGGTGCGGGTACTAGCTGTATGCAATTGAGGATTCGAAAAGGTGACAGCAGCTCGTGCTCCCGCGCAAAAATTCACGCCGTCCACCTCGAGACCCACCAGTCGTGACTGAGCTCTACGTGCTCTTAGTGCTTGTCTCATCACTCCAGATTCGAAACCACTGGCACTATACGCCTGTTTGTGGTACGCACAAATCGTGGTGTTGCTTTACGATCAACTCAGATACGAAACGCCCATCAGCATGAATTTTGCTAGGTATTATAGTAAACTTGTGTGGGTTTTGTTGCTTGTGAACACGGAAAATTGCTCTCTTTGCCGTGAATCTCTAATGCACCATCAAGAGCAGGGAGTGCGTGGTACCGGACAGGGGTAAGAACGATCTATGCTATGTCAAGAAGAGCATACTCCAGCCAAAAGCACCAAAGACTGTGCGAACGGTCGTTGGCATCTGTTGGGGATGGTTACGCCTTGCCCACCCTGATAACTCTGTCCACCAAGAGATATAGAAAAGCTTCGCCAGCAATCCTACAGGCAGAGGCATCCCTTTTAGCCATATCCAAACCGCTGACTCGAGAAGAAGTCTCAGAGAGATACGGCACCGTCTTGGTTGTAGCCGTTTTTTCGAAATGTGGAGGAAACACATCTTGCAGGGATGCGAGCTGCCCACCCCTCTCCTAGAAAGTTTTCGGGGATACCAGCTATGAAGAATAAACACACCTCCCAGGGATGCGAATTGCCAACCCCAACTTTAGACAGTTTTCGAGGCGACCGCCTCGCGTGTGTCAATTCCATGTTGTATCCGCTTGTTTGGGTCGGTTTGCCACCAAGGAAGGTTGTCTCTTTAACACACAGGCTACACTTGCTATTGATATTTTTCTACTGTGACAGTAGGTCAATGCCAGCGACAACGAGACAAAGAGGGACAATAAGTATTCCAACATCAGTAAGCGGCGGAGAGATGGCACTCCCCCTGTAGCAGACCGAATTTCAAAACTCGATTGCTCCGGAACCAAGGGTGTGCGGAAAGAGCCCGACAACAATACTAGAAGCCCTCGACGAGATCTTTCCGAAACCCTCATTTTGGTGTTGGCACTGTTCGTGTGTGCATGAGCGGATGAGAATATTCCAACGGGACTGCAGGAATTGGTTACGAAGATAGGAATTGATTGTCCCCTGGGTTGGTTTCATGGTTGATCTACGGGGCTCGACCCTGCGGGAGTGCTTGCTGTGTCGTGGCACTCTCTCTCTCCCGCCGCGTCCTGATCGTGTGTGTTGTCCTAAATACAAGTGATACGATCATCTTCAACACACTTACAAGGCTCTAGAGTGTATCCCTCGAGGGAACCCGTGTTGGAGATGAGTGGCGCCGATGTTGCATCAGAGGCTGCCGACGTCACCACTAGTACGCAGGGCAAGGTTGACAACCTGGAGAGCAAAGTTTCAGGCCTGACGGACGAGGTACAGCAGCTGGCAGGGCTGCTCCGAGCCGCCCTCGGAAAGTTAGAGAAGGAGGGGGAGTCCGGCGGCGCTGGGGTGGGCGCTGTCGTCACGGGCACTACGTCCACCCGCGATACCCAGGAGGGGGCACCGCAAAACGAGAGAATCACGCCGCCCTCAGACCCGCCGGTTGGGCCGGGTGGCGGGCGTGACAGGGGATCGCTCCCCCAAGGTGAGACAACCGAGACATATGGCGGTGGTATTGGCGGTTTTGGCGGACTCGTCGGAGAAGGAGACGGTTTTCACCAGAACCCGTATAGCAAAATGCGTGTGTCAGTGCACGCACCGCGCCTCGAAGGCGGTCAGGGATACTACTCGTGGAGGAGGGCCTTTATCCTGGCTGCCAAAACGGTAGACATGGACGGTCAGTTCGAGGGGGCACGGAACGCCAGCCGGACGTCGGGGACATGAATAAACCCAAAGCTACGTTGCTGGCAGAGGGGTACACCGAGGCACAGATCCATCGCAGCCTCCAAGCTTTCCACTTTCTGTCCTCGGCCCTGGTGAGGGAGCCAGACAAGGCCATCTTCGGGAGATGTGTGACGCCGAAGCAGGCGTTGGACGAACTCGACAAGGTGCACAACCCGTAATCGCAGGTCGCCACGCAGGAGTTGCTCAGCAAGTTTCAGAACTTCGCAATGCCGGCCGACAAAAACCCGACTGACTCGCTGATCGCCATGGAACAACTCGCAAGTCGTCTGAACGAAAGGGGGGTCAAAGTCGAGGCCTCGTACGTGCTGTCGCTCTTCCTTTCGGCCCTACCGGCCGAGTACGACCATGCCAAACTGACTCTGCAGTCCGCCCCGGCTCTGGACCGGGGAGAGGTCATCAGAGTGGTGGGCTCACAGCACTCCAGCATCAGGCAGGGGAAGAGCCATCGGAACGGCAACCGCAACAATCACAAGGCGTCTGAGCAGGGATTACTCGTGAGCACCGATACTGGTGGTGGCGGAAAAGCTGGTCGCAACCGCGGCCGCGGGGGACGCGGCGGCGGCGGAAGCGGCGGCAATAACGGCAATGGCAACGGCAACGGCGGTGGAGACGGTCGCAGTGACGGCGGCCGCCGCAGGGGCTGGTGCTACCGGTGCAACAGGCGAGGGCACCAGCCGTTCTCGTGCACTACCCCCATCGCCGACTTCTTGACCCAGTGCGAAGTCTGCGACGGGTATAGACACGATAAGAGCAAGTGCCCGTCGGCGAAGGACGAGGAGGAGGCGAAGGGCGAGACGGCAGTCATGGCTGTTGCAGTTGCGAGCGATGACGAGGAGCTGGATGTGGCACGTGAGCCGTTGTAAGAACAGGCGGGGGAAAGACACCAAAGTCGCGCGGGTCACCGCGCACGCTCCATCTACACCATCGCAGCAGCGTGAGAGAGTGGAGACACAGAACATGGCGAAATGGCCGTGTGACCACAGCCGCGACGGAAGGGGCGCGGGAGGGCAACAACCAAATAACACGGCGGGAGGGCCGTGTGCTCATAGCTGCGGCGGGAGGGGCGCGGGAGGGCACCAACAAAATAAAACGGCGGGAGGGCCGTCTGCTCGCAGCCGCGACGGGAGGGGCGCGGGAGGGAAACAATCAACGCCGCCTCATGGCGCGTCGGGAGGGCATGGGGGGGAGGTAAACATTAGCCCCATGGCGCGTCGAACGGGGCGGGAGGGGGGGGGAAATCTAAGGCCCCATGGCGCGTCGGACGGGGCGTGAGGGGGGAGAAAATCGACGCAGCCCCGTGGCGCGCCGGAAGGGGCGTGAGGGGGGGGGGTACTCGCATCGTGGTGCTAAAACGGGAACTCCTTTTCTGGCGAGGCTACAGGCCGGGACGAGCGCTGGGAGGGGAGCAAACACGCATCACAGTGCTGGATTGGCACTTCTTTCTTGACGGTATTTGGTGTTTGATGGTATTCGTAGCGAAGTTGGTGATCCTCGTTAGTTGTCATGAGTGCACTTTGGTTGAAGAGCCAGGGAGAGTGTTCCGTGTTTCTCGGAGGCGTTCGCGTCCACATGTTCAATATTTTCCTGGTAGTCATTTGGTTGAAAATTTTTGATTGCCGCGACGTGGGGCCGTTCTCTAGGTTGCGAAATGTGCAGGAATTGGGATACTGTTGGAACCGCTGAAGGAACATATGAGGAAAATTTGGGACACCAGTGTTGTACGTCGACGAGAACAGAGGATTGTCGAAAAATTCATGCCGGTTATGCGTCGTTCAGAAAATGTTGAATGATTGCCTTATGCCCCGGTGCGCTGTGTTACGTCAGCGAGGGGGGGCGATTTTGATGTTTGTCTGGTGTTTGTTTGAAGAACAGGCAGTAGTGGAGTCGCATGGTAGTTGTTTGAACCAACTCCTCAGGATAGTCTTACGCTATTGCTTACTAAGAATCGGGATAGGCCGTTGTTGGAAACAGGGTATTGATCTTGGTACTTCATGCAGGAAGAATATGTAGATTCCGAGCGTGGAGTCTGGCGCGACTGGTATTATGCATGTATTGATCTTGCTCTAGTAGCGCAACGTGACAGTGTCTGGTGGAACGGTGAACATTGGTGGGGGTTTTGACCCGGAGGCCGGGTTTCCCCCTGTTATTTTTTTGCGTTGGTTTTTGTCCGTTTGGCTTTTTGGTCACATCCGGCGTGTGTATGACCACTAGTGGTTAGTTACTAGCGTAAAGAACCAGGGATGGTGTTCGTGTGTGCATGAGCGGATGAGAATATTCCAACGGGACTGTAGGAATCGGCTACGCAGATAGGAATTGATAGTCCCCTGGGTTGGTTCCATGGTTGATCCACGGGGCTCGACCCTGCGGGAGTACTTGCTGTGTCGTGGCACTCTCTCTCTCCCGCCGCGTCCTGATCGTGTGTGCTGTCCTAAATACAGGTGATACCATCATCTTCAACACACTTACAAGGGTATACTAACAGGCACAACATTGGCTGTGGAGAAATCGGAAAACCGGTGTACGGGGGTACCATCTCTCCGACCGTACCGCTGTAGGCGACTCGAGATACTAAACCTCTTGGACCAATCTTCAAAGCTTGATTACTCCACAGCAGAAAGGGTGGCGCTCCCAAAACGTCGGCGTTGAAACCGTCACGTCAGGATTCTTGTGAAAACGTATCAGCCGGTTACGACATATTCTTCAACGCGGAGCAATCGGGGGTTGAAATATGGTCCAAGGAGAGCGTTATCGTGCGGCACGTTTGGTGTGATGAACGAGGTGCTTCCACAGGTTTATCTTACATACCTCTTGAGGGGCAAT